CCCTCATTAGGGTCATGAGCTTACAGCACTGTATAGCTCTTGCAGCATCTCCAGTCCAATACCTCATCAAATACATTAACCTCAATTCATCACTTAATAGAAAACTACTCAGCATGATCTCAAACTCCTTTACAAATTGTAAATAATCAGCCGGGTTTCCATCGAAACACCGTGGTTCAAATTTAGGGAGTTTGATGTTCCTATTATCCCTGAACGGCGAAACAGTAACATCAACCATGTCATGCTTAACATCAGACACATCTTTACAATTAACAGACAAGTCACCATGACTTACTTTCCTGTTTGCATCCAAGACACTCTGTCCCTTCTTTGACCCAGGCATTGTTGAACTTGACCCAATTCCAAAAGCGTTCCAGATATTGCTTGTTCAAAGAGGACTTGACCGGCACCAGGAAAGATGAACGATGACTATCCAAAATGTTACCAGCTGTTTGAATCGGCCAGAATCTGTTTCTACCGTCAGAAACTGTCAGCCACGTCTCGTAAACCGTTAATGCGCAGCTCTTGCTACGCTCGGGCTCACGCTGTTCCTTGAAGTTTCTCAGAAACGCTTAGTAATAACGGACGAAAAAACCAAAACACCAATTGGCGACTCGAGGATTCTTTATTGTTACACCAACATATAAATCACGTATGACTAAGGTCTGTGAACAAATATTACAACAATAAATCACAATGTTACTTCTGACGGTTTTCTGCTGACTTCTTTCTGAACAGCGACCGATGAGACGATGACTGTCGTATCGATGCCTCCGCGAAAATTGGGGAAGTTGATTTTGAGCAAACAACCAAGAATTGATCGTTCAATCTTCAACTCCATTGACAACTTATAATATAGAGTGGAATTCTCAGCATTTATCACATTTCATCTTAGTTTCTTAAAATGTAAATTAACCACAGGAATTTGCCCACAGTTAGGGTATTAAGTCAAAAATATTTGAGAGGGGATTATAAATATAATTATAATAACGGTATAACTCGATGGGATGGGCATGGGGAGAATGGTTTACTCACTATTGCAAATAACGTTAGTTAGTTCGTCCCTGATACTATTTTCATTGCATAAAATACGTGCTAAGTGTGGTATCTTGGATGTTTTATAATAAAAGGTGCATGCACACGGTCTTTTGAAATGACTTCTTGTTACCCCTGAGGGGACACAAGGTGAAAGTGGCAGGAAAAGTAAGTGCTCACAGTCTGCCCACCGTCAATGACGACTGCAACGGTATTGCCCAAGGGGAAACCTATTGCCCTACTGACACTCCTCAGAGTTCTACGAGGTATGACATTGTCTTTTTTAGGCAATCCAAGAAAAAATAAGAGTGAGCAGTAAATAAGAATGTGTAAGATGCGTGAAGTGATAATCTGTGAGAGGAGGGGATGAGTTATGCCTGGGTGTCTTAACTTTTTAATGTAAAAAGTCAGACGAAATATTCTTTTAGAAATCGCTAAGATATGGGAAGACCAGGACTGGTCAGAAGAAAGGATTAAACAAAGATACCTACCGTCAGATTTGGTTTCTATATCACTATCATCAATCGTACAACGGTCATAGAAATTAACAGTCTGACATTTGAAAGGATTCAGTTTGAGATCATTTACTGACCGCTGATAGAAAGTTGTCCAACTTAGTACAGTCTAGCTGGGAGTTAACTGGCAGTTAAGCAGTTAGGGCACCCACATAATTAACAAAGAAGATATGCAGCTCAATATTTGTGTTAAACGGGTACTGTAGTAGTAAGTAATTCCATATTTGTTTGTTTAATAGATGTATCACACAGTGAAGCAGTGTTATTTACTGGATGACGTTTCGAATAAAATTTATTGTTCATTATTTATACACCTAATAAACAAATTGATATCGGTATGAGGCTGTTGATCATAGAAATGACGGATATTAGACAACATCACGTGATTCAGCAGCATACTATATATAAATAAAAATTGTTTCTTAGCTCATGGCTAAGTAAACTGCCTATTTGTTGATGTCACTGCACAGATTGAAGAAGCAGCTGTCAACCCTAAGTTACTACATCTGCTTGTCCTGCATACTTGGCGCTTAACAGTATACAGACTTGCAACTAGCTAGATAAGGCGACTTATAGCATCTAACAGTACAGAATTATTATTCAGTTTGATAAATCCAACGTAGTTTTTACAATGTGCTATTGTATACAAACAGATGTGAAATCCTATGAATGACTGAATTAAATCTCTCAACACTATGGTAAATATCCATCCCACTAACTAGGCTTAACATGCATTAATTAGAATTCACATAATACATAGGCTCATAGTACAGTGACGCACTGAAGAAGTTCATAGGAAGTAGAAACTAAGAGTGTATTAAACATTTCATTAATCTACAAATGAAAATTCTGATGAAGAGTATTGGCGTTAGTTTGACCGATTGACAATTCCGCTGATTTTACATTGGGCAACCTCCATTTACCTGAAAAAGTAAAGTACACGTAAAGACTAGCACAACATGAAGTTATGAAAGACAATTTTACATAAAGGTACACAAACGGGATGCATTCGTTCGATTAATACTCAGTGAAATTCTCATATAAACAAAAGTAATTGTAATCTACAGTTGGTTTTTATATTGACCCCATATGCATATATAGACCTCAAATGTTTTTCAGTATTAGAGGACTGTACACGAACTTCAAGACAAACTCCGAAACATTCATACTGTTGAGGAGTCACTCTCATCAAGATTATTGCAGGTGAACTTCCCACTACATACGTTTACATTAAAAGGAAGCATTCCAAATGTGTCACTTGTAAATTAATCCAAAATCCCAATGATGTCTGGTGAACATGGTTGTGTGAATCCCACAGGAATTAAATTCCTAGATTTAGGAAACTATTGCCAACAAATAGAACGTGTACATGTCTCAACTGTTAACAGCCATGCAGTGCTGACAGCATAGAGAAACACTTAAAATATTGTAAGACACACGGACCCGTTGTGTTGATGAGGACAAAAATGTCACATTATGTAACCTAGACATTCAATCGTGATACCTCATCTGTACTGCTTCATGTAAATGGAAGTTCTGGTAGAAGTTCATCTCCATTATCGGTGATCGAAAATATTACAACATTAAGTATACGGTGTCCATGGAAATGGCATAACAGACATTAGATTGATAATAAAAGAACTGACTAGATTCAGTTCTCACAACCAACGCAATCCATGTATGTAATTATACTATACACTTATTACATTATGTGAAATAGTTTTTATTTTATTTATTCTTGTTTACAGCTTGATTCCACACCGTATTTTTGATACAAGTATGGAATTTTCAGGATGGATATTGGTAGCCCAAATTTTGCAGGCCGACCATAGATATCAAGTGTGCGTCGGCAGGGTGTCGAACCTCGAACCATGTGCATGGTCGGCGAGAGTCCTAACCACTGTGCCACCGACGCACATAATCAAACGAGCAATTTCCTTCTTCACTGCACTGCATCTGCAGGAATCATGAGAGCCACCTGCATTTGTAACCCTGGCAGTCAGCTGAGAAGACAATGACACAATGTTAATAGAGATATTTTTATGTTCTGAATCCACATAACCCACATTGCAATGCACCAGCTAGTGCAAATATACATATTGAATCCACTTTGAGATAACCTTTCAAATTACGATAATTTTTGTCCAAACACATATACTGTGAAAGACACATCTACATGATAACTACTGTTCCCACAGAAGATTCTGTTAGCATTCATGAGCGATTTCCATGTAATGACAGCATTCGTTTGTCAAATAGCACTGTTCCCCACACATTGATATCCTGAGACGTGAGGTCTTCACTGAGCGATGCTATGCGAAGATGTGCAGTTTCTACACAAAGTAGGCTATTTGTGTAGATGAAATAACCCTCCAGCTCTCCCATCTTGGTTATGATGGCGAAAATTTAACATGGTCCACCCGAAACACTGATCATTGCAACCAATATTCTCAGATTGCGCCGCAGTCGAGTCGCACGACGTGGACACCAGCATCACTAGTCAGGATGTGAGAATTCCTATCAGTCCAGAAAACTTAAAACATAATTTTATTAAAAATTATTCACAAAACAAATTTATCAAGCGAAATTTCAACCGACGTGATGAATAAGCCAAGCCAATACTTAAGTAGATTGGTAATGACGAAACATCCATACCCATGCCTCTGGCGGTTTCTTGATGGAAATATGTGAATTTAGTAATACGGATGTGAAAATGCGGATGTACCACACTTAAATAAAACACGAGTTTAACATAAGTTACCTGTGGTGGTGAACTATGCTTAATGGTAAAATCGCACGCATTTATTGATATGCAAACTCAGTTTACTGAAATTAGTAGGCTGTATGCTTGAAAGTTTTTAATTAAGGCACTATTCAGCCCGTTTATCATAGGGAATAACATAGAAATGTAAATTATGATATGGGATTTTCATTTGCTATTGAATATTTTCATGCATTTAACTTTGAATGTCCTTGCGCAAAAGGTCTAGATAACCTTGTGGAGAGCTGGCAAGTAGGGTGGGGGCCTTATGTTTGCGATGCTGAATGGCTATTTTTATTTTTTATTGTTTTTGATTACAGCTTGATTCCACACCATATTTTTGGTACAAGTATGGAATTTTCAGCGTGGATATCGGTAGCCCAAATTTCGCAGGCCGACCATAGATATCAGGTGTGCGTCGGCGTGGGCTCGAACCCCGGACCATTTTCATGGTCGGCGAGAGTCCTAACCTCTGCACGACCGACGCACTATCGTTTAATGCTTCACTTACTTATCCTTAAGTTGCATGTGTCGCTTAAGATACCCAAAAGGTCACTAAGTAGGAATTCATAAGGAAATACATATAATTCAGGCGTGTGAGTAAATCACGATTGGTTCACTAACTGATGTCAGCTCATGATGGAATCGTCTAACCAATCAAATCACGATTGACACTTTAAAGTGACTTTATGGGCCTAATAAGTGAAGAAGGTAGACTGGAGATAATGAATCTAGGTAGGTCTTGAACCTTGAACGATTGGACACTATCCTGGGATAAAAAGGTACCAGCCCACGTGATCTTTCTCGACTTTGCGAAAGCATTCGACACAGTTCACCATGGTCTGCTCCTTCACAAAATAGGCAAGGCGGGAGTTTCTGGAGCACTTCTCGCATGGCTGACAGATTACTTAGGCGAGAGAGAATTCTGCACCAAAGTCAACCGCATCCGATCATCTTGGCACACCTCGGCATCAGGGGTTCCTCAGGGTTCTATCCTAGGGCCGTTGATGTTTTTGATTTTTATCAATGACCTGCCCCCCCAACTAAACTGCTCTGCGCTTCTTTACGCTGACGACGTAAAGATTTGGAGAGCAATAAACTCATCGGAAGACTCAGATAGATTGCAGGCTGACCTGCAAACTCTGGGAAATTGGGCTTTGGCTAACGGAATGCCTTTCAATCTAAAGAAGTGCAAAGTAGTGCAGCTTCATTCCGGCAGGTCACAGAGTGTAAATTACACCCTTGGTGGCCAGAACTTGAGTTGTGTTCCATCAGAGCGTGATCTAGGTCTTATTCTAACAGAAAAGCTAGACACCAGTGGAAATTACTCGAGGGACGTCGCCAAAGCCTACGCAACATTACACTTTATGCACAGGCAGCTGGGAGCTCTCACTCCCGAACTGTTCTTAAGGCTATACAAGGCATATGTGAGGCCACACCTTGAGGTGCATAATATCATTGCACCTCCGCTACTCAAAAGGGATGCTAACATTCTAGAAAGTGTCCAGAGACGAGCGACAAAATGGGTGATCGGCCTCCGCAACAAATCATATGAGGAAAGACTAAAGAAATTAGGTCTTTTCACACTCAGTTACCGTAGGCACAGGGGAGACCTCATCACCGTCTACAAGATCCTAAATGACCAGGCCCACCCAAATAAAAGCATCCTGCCATTAAGCGATTATAGGCTTCCACGAGGTAACCCGCTAAGGATAGCACACCAGAGACCAAAGACTCGAGTGCGATCACATTTCTTTTCGCTTCGTGTTTGCCGTCTCTGGAACGCTTTACCGGCGGCCGTGACTACAGCGCCATCTGTGGAGATTTTTAAGCGGAAGCTAGACAATCATGCAGAAATGCAAGGTTTGTGTCTCAATGGCTTATCCTCATAAAATTTGAAACCAAACTGTCAATGAATAAGCGTACTAACTAAATCCCCACGACCTATTCTGCCTTCTCTCACTCTATCTTTTCCTTATGTCACCTTTATTATTCCACTTATCTCAACCTATATTATCTAAACTACAACCTTATTATTATTATTATTACTATTCTGCTTTTATGACTACACCAAATGACCAAGGGGAGTTAGGTCAAACTCCATTCACGGCAGCAATACAGTCCTAACATACTGCATACTACAAACCACATCTCGACCAATCCCCGCACCACTCCTCCTGGAGTCTACCAGAGCTAAAGCAGTCGAGTGTCGGGACTTACTACGCAGAAGCTCACCGAAGATCTGGAACCTCTACCTCACAATCAAGAAGCGAGCTCAAAGAAATCACTGGTTTATACTAGCTCGTCATCAGGATATTGGATTGGATACCGATACACTGAGTGAGCGACAGTAATTCAGGGTTTTTTAGAAGCTGGTCACAAAGATACTGTATATATGTGTACAGATACAGCTAGTATTCAAACGATATCTTATGTTGGTGAGATATAGTATCCCAAACGTTATCTTTATCAAAGCATTCAAAGCTTCTGTGAAGTAACTTTAAAGCTCAGTATGCTTCATACTTAGTGACGTTTAGATTTACTCTTACCAAGTTGTGACAGAAAACATTAAGATGTTGAGTTCCATAATCCATGGCAATGGTGACCTGTTCATTGAATAACAAAGGAAGTTGTTGATTGCGCCGGAATCGCCTCACAGAGTTTGACTTTGAGACCAATCGGTCAATTCATCTCTGTTCATCGAGAATCCTGACTTAATTTCATTGTTGTGAATAGGTCTCTAAACCCTAACATCACTCGCAAACAGCTACGTTAATAGCATAAATGCTTGGTTGGAAATCCTGAGAAATTCTTTAGGCAATATACTGCTCGTGCTTATACGATCATTAAACATCTTCCGGACAGTTGCTGTATAAAATAGTGACTAGTACGTCCATTAGGGATGTCTAATATCTCTGTTATCCAAACTTATTGTAAACGTACTGGCAGACATATAGGTGTTTCACCAATCCATCCTATTTACTGCAAATGTTTAAATTTCTATATATGTAATTAGGTCGTCGAAGTATTAACTTAGATTCTGCGATGGAGGCTAGCATCATATATTTGTATTAGTCTCTTAAAATTGCTGGGGAGGAACTTTATTGGAATTTAGTCTTTCCTTATAGTAAGTACCATATATATATGCTTTTGAAAAATTCAATTCAGGGCATTTGCTATTAAAGCTTCAAATTAATTGTCTTCGGTCAAACTCTGGCCAGTGAAACTTTGGAGAATTGTCAGTATACTTAGTTTCCTGATAATTTGTAGTTTCGTTTTTTTACTGGGAATTTTGTCAGCACCTCTTCTTAAAATTTACGGATAATTGTTTGTCCTGCAATGAACTGTTGCTTCTTTTCAGACTGTACAATTAGTTCCCACTGTGCTAGATATATGAGCTGAAGTTTATTTTCTCAATTATGGATAGTAGTTCTCCTTTCTGTTTTCGCGCTTGATTGCGAATCCCAGTTTCACTTTATTTCTCTCGGGTAAGCGATTTTCGAGCTGACTATTTGTGTTTTGTAAATGTCCCTCAAAATTTTTTAATACGTCGTTTAGAGATGGAGCACTAATACTGTAGTCTACAATATTGCATGTATTTCAACTACTGATACTGCTCCTACTACTAATGCTCCTTTTGTTATTTAATTCGCAGTGGTTTAATTACTGATAGGATGGACTTATTATGACAAAATAGGATTATGCGAAATCCCAAGGAGTCGTCCGGAGTGACGAAATCAAGCTGCGAATTTCAGCATACACTTCGCTGATATAGACACCAGGTTTATTGATAAGTAACCTGTAGATTCAGTTGTCTAATAGAGATTAATCAATAACTTCTCGACAACAGATTCAAAACCTTAATTTAGGAATTCAAACAGCCAAATAGTTCCATTAATCCAGTCACAATAGATGTGGTTTGTGATGTAGTGCACTATAACTTCATTTAGTTGTAGCTGCAAATCAGTTGTATGGATTTAAGGTCTCGTTTCAGCAGCTATTTTGTTTTATATGTGCATATATATATATATATATATATATATATATATATATATATATGGCTTCACCGTTGAGCTTATCAATAAGGTGTAGTACTGTATAAAAGTTCACATTATCGTACAGAAAATTGTATGCAAAGGAATCATAATTCACGAAAATATTCGGGAGAACGACTAATGAAGCTTTAATAAATCTGGAAAAATAGTAAGGAGTGAATACATCTCACTAGGACATAACATCTATCGTGTAGCGACTAATAAAGAGGAAATCAGTATACAGATTTTAGCGTTTGCGGTAATTTGATTGATTTCGAGTTAGATTTTGTCATGAACCGACGTGTTAAAGAATTAGTGAGAGCCATAGAGAACTAGATATTCATTTCGACCTGGGTTGGTAGTGTTATTTTGAGAGGCACCTAAACGATAGAGTTATATACGTTGGTTTTCTTAATAATAAGTGACAGGTTGGAGCCTTCAAAGGAATCCTTAGTTAATAGTTCTCCACAGGTGAACAAGAATTACACAACTGTGTAATCGAAAGACTTCGATCCATACAGTGAAATTCAAGCAACGACGTTTGTTATCGTCTTGAAAAACCCAAAATTTGAAATGTATGTATACATACTTCAAGCTGGGCTTTGGATCATTTTTCGTAACATTTACCTTTAAAGGAGTAGATCGTATTTATATAAATCTCTTCCTAAATACTGAGTTCTAAATAATGAGACAGTACTACTAGCTTGTACACAGTAAGTATAATTCACCATCTGTAGCATGAATATGGAATCCGACCACGATTTCTGTGCATTTTACCAAAGTATTACAAAAATTGTTAGCACATCGAATGCAAATTTCATGCGAAACTATTCATAGTATACACTAGGCATTGAACCTCACGTCAAATCTGAAGGCCGACTTCATCCGTGCTTATTTTTTCAAAGTAATAGAAATTCTTTCTGATGCACAAGTCAATCATACTGAAGGTTTACATGTGTTGTTTTGCATCTTTAGTTTATATAGATTGTATTGTGGAGAGTTGCGTAAATCCTGTTGGACTTGTTTTCGTCAGTTTATGCAAAAATACACTTCTAATTGATTGTAAACAGACTATACTGCGCGTGTTTGTGTGAACTACTTTTCAAAACTGTGATTCATTATGGATCCACAAGGCTTACCACCTGGATGGTCAGTTGGTTATGACAGTGTCACTGGTTTCCCATATTTTATTGATCATATCAATAAGACTACTACATGGGAAGATCCACGAAAGTCTAAAAATCAGGTGAGCTTTTGTCTCTTAAAGCTTTATATTCAATAATATCAGTTGTATAATTGTGTGTGCTTTAGTGCTTATCGACAGAATACTGTATTGAGGTGACACGTCCTATGCGTGAGATGGAAGCAATGATGTTTCCAGTGATGGTGGACTTGAATGTGATGACTACGCTGTAATCTGAATAATAACACTTATTCAATAATTGTGTGGAGAGAAATTTACTCACTTTGTCAAGTCTGATAATTTGTCTTTTGGTTATATTGAATTTCACAGTCACGTGTATCAAATCTATCGCCATCCGGGTTCCACTGTTTGACAGTGGTCACTTTTGTACATTATATTGGAGATTTTGGCATAATGTGTGTCTACTGGGTTAATTTATGCTCTTACTATTCATTGATCTAATGTTTTTCCCATTATGATTTTATTTGCCCTTGCTGTCTCAACATTTTCACCAATGTAGATCAATACAACTTTATAAAATGTGATGGTACATTACTCGTCGGACTAAACACTCAGCTTCTAACCACTGTCATGGGTCTGAAACCCACTCAATCTGTTCAGGTTTAGGCAACCAGGCGGTATCATTAGCCTTCGCAAAACAGGTTTGGCTCGATGCCAACTACATCGTTGTTATAAAGAGTTTTATGTTATTAACTCAGCTTTTCATGGTTTTATACTTTTGATTGAAAAGAGGAATTGAACACTATGTACACAACTCAGCAGTTCTTGTGAATTAGATCGATGTGGTGGTGCAAAAATGTCGTCTGATCTCTTATGTTTGAAGGTTGCCTGCGATTTGAAGATTATGGAAATGTGGCTATTTTACTTAACGCTTATCATTTATCATTTCGAGGGCTAAGGGTTGTTTGTATTGGTTTTCATTTACTCTACAGTATTCAGTAGTATATTATGGCATAGCGTACATGCTTTTATTGCCAATATCAATATCATATCATGCATTGTTGTTAAAAGGGGATGCAAGGCAATGATTTAATATAGAACGGGCCTCCAAAGCCTCAGGATGGTCGGGGGTGGGTGCCTTGCGCTGCGGGTTGGCCACCCCTCCGCACACCTCTTGAAATGATCCCATATGACCGGGCGTCTTACATAGCCTCTCCTGAGGAAGTCCTACTCACTGCCTTCACGTGGCGGAGGTGTTTCTCACCAAAGTGAGAAGGCGAAAGCGGATGCCTGGCGCTCTCCACCGGGTTGACTGTCCATTGGATGACAGTCTAGGGGAGATGGCTAAACCCTGATTCCAAACCTCCAACGATTGGCGTATGAAGCTCACTGGAGCTCACCGGCAGACGTATGGACAAATGGCTTGTTGGATGTCCTGGATGTCTAGCCCCATTCAAAAAGGCGTATGAACCGAACTCCGGTCATCGGCTGCCAATGGATAGTGAACTCCTTACTTCACTCCTACTGCCTTGTAGGTCACACTTGGTTGTGTAAAGGCTAGAGCTGCACTCTCAAACAAAAGGCCGAGCGATGCTGGGGACATCACTCGTACCAAATTCCCATGAAACTTCATGAACTCTCTTACAAATTGCCGCGCCTGGGCAGCGATGATTCGAGACATTCATGAAGCCGGCTCATCCTCCCGTAGGAGATAACCGAAGTAAAGTAAGTAATATAGAACGGTGGAGAGATGGAGATAGATTGATAACAGGAGGTTTGTGTTATGGAACCAGCTGAGAACATATGTAGTAGGAATGAGTCAGCACGTATTCAAGATATCCGTGCTACTCCACTACTCATACTAGAAAATGGAAATGAAGAACTTGAAGTATTAAAATTACATTACTTGCATTATTATGTAATCATGATGAATAAATTATATTCCAAATATCATCCAGTAGATGTAATTTTGTTCCACCGTGTAATCTATGCAGTACATAGATTAATATGTGAAACTAGAGTTTTTATATCCTTTGATATCATGTTATTTTTGGAATTTACAAATATTTTATCGTGAATAGTGTTTTAACACAATTGGAGATCAATGTACATGAGCCCCCCAACAACTGCTATATTGTCGTGGTGGTCGGGCGTGAATACCGCAGTGACCCAACAAGCTGAACTGGCTGAGACTCATGTTCCTGCAGGTTCTATCATGTCAGGAAGGTTGTTTGGATAGCGGTTAGACTAAAAGCAGTTAACTCATGGAAAATTCCCATTGTAACATATAGAAAATCAAAACAAGTGATTCAGCGAAGAGACTTTTCGACGAATTCATCATCAAGCTGTACAGTCGTATATATATGGTGTTTTAAGAAGTTATATCCGGTGAGGGAATTGAATCTTAGGTGTGAATGCATAAAATAATAATAATATGAAGTGCAATTAAAACTAAAATGTTTGTGATTATAATCGTAGTTAAATGTCAAGTGGCAAAGCAAATTAAAAGCAGTTACCCTAGGGTAAATGGACTCTAGAATCCAACCGGATCAAACGGCGTATGAACCTATGTTGGATACCGGCAACCATGGGAACGTAGCTCCTGACGCTGCCTTGCGGATTAGACTCCAAGTCAAAGGCTCGCGGGGTGGTCCTTTAAGAAAACCACCTGCTTCGGTCTGGGCGCACGGGCAGTATCTCAGCCCTCACACAATAGATGAAATGAAGCAACAAATTACCAGTGAAACTTATCGCTCACTCCTAACAACGCTTTCAAGCAATAATGATGTCTCATGTAACACATCTTTTTCCAACCTTTTATTTTTATACGTAGACTCCTGTATTTTACCTTTATTAACCTTGACGTCTTCACCTTCGGCAGCCTTTCGCCTTTGTCGGAATTCCCAGTCTATCTGTGCCGTTTCGAGATGTTAATGAGCAGGCTTCGGAATGGTTGTCCCCAATGCAACACCTAACACAAATATGCTGAAACCTCGTGCCGCCCTCAAGCTGGCCTCCTACAATATTTGGACTCTGATCCAAATCGGAAAACAGGCAGGGTTGTTAAGAACATTGGAAAGCCCCAATATCGATGTCTGCTGCATTTCGGAGACCCGCATTCAAGATACCAATAAAGTGCTTCTATTATCCTCTCCATATGAAAGTTCTAGTAGTATGTACCATCTACGCTTGTCCGGGGACCCTCTGGCGTCGGCATCTGGAGTGGCTGGTGTCGTTGTCGCACAAAGCGCTAGGGCCGAAGCTGCATTGCTCGACTGGATTCCCATTAACAGTCGTTTATGTGCTGTAAGGCTAGAAGGTTATACGAAAGTAAGAAGTAGTAGGCCAGATAGGCGGTGTCTATTTGTTGTCTCTGCCTATGCACCGACGGATTGCAGCGCGGGTGCAATGAAGGATGAGTTCTACTACCAACTGAGGGATCTCTTGAAACAGACGGGTCGGAGGGATATCGTAGTGCTGGCTGGAGACTTGAATGCACAGGTCGGGCGTCTAAGCTCAGAGGAGAATCGTCTAGGTGGTCAATGGGGACTACATGGTGGCAGGTCAGATAATGGGGACCGTCTTCTGCAGCTTTGCGCGGATGACAACCTATTTCTAGCCAGCACCAACTTCCGGCACAGCCATCACCGTAACGCTACCTGGCGTCCTCTGTCTGCGAGTCAAGCTTGGACTCAGATTGATCATGTTGCTGTCAGTTTCCGGTGGGGAGGATGCATACAAGACTACCGCTCCTTCTGGAACGCATGCCTGGACTCCGACCATGCGTTAGTGTGTGCCAGGTTCGTCTTGCGATTTGGTGGGGTTCATAAAAGGCATCGTCTAAACGTTGATGTGAGCAAACTAGTAGCACCTGCTTCTTCTTTGAAATACCAGAACGAGTTACAATGAATGCTTGCGAGCAACCCCCTAAGTAGTGTAGATGGGCATCGGCTTCATCTGCAAGGTACCATGCAAGTGGCGAGTGTAATCGCTTGCGGCTTGAAAGAGTGCTCCGCTAAAAACCACTGGGTTTCTGCAAGTTCTTTGCAACTCCTGGATGAACGCCGGTCCATTCCGGCTGGCAGAGTATACAGCGCTTACGCGCAAGATTAGACAGTGTTTACTTAAGGACCGCGAAGCCTGGTGGTCAGAACCTGCGTGTGAAATGGAATCAGCTGCTGCATCTGACAACAGTTGGAAGCTGTTCCAGCTCACGTGCTACCGGCAGCAAGAAACAAGTTGTCAGAGAGACGGTCTGTGAGGCAGATGGCACGCTAATTACCAGCCTGGAAAGACGCCTGGAACGCTAGGCAGAGCACTTCGAGAGATAGTTTAGCTGGCCACTAGCTTCAGTATCTGCTGTCACTGGTCTGTTAGTACCGACCCACCAACAGAAGCGGAGGTCCGTAAGGAACTCCAAGTATTAAAACTCCATAAGGCACCCGGCCCAGATAATCCACTCGCGGCTCTTTTTAAAGATGGTGGTGAGACTCTCGCAACAGCTCTAACTGGGTTGTTCAGGAAGGTATGGGAGACAGAGAGTATACCATCAATGTGGAACGAAGCCATTATCGTCCACAACTTTAAAAAAGGTCGACGTAATTCATTTGACAATCATAGGGGTATCAGTCTGCTACCAGTTGCGTCTAAAGTATTGGTTGCTGTCTTGCTCCTTAGGCTGTGCAAAACACGTGAAGGATTGATTCGCAAAGAGCAGGCTGGGTTTCGTTCAGGTCGTGGATGCATTGATCACGTGTTCACCCTTCGTCAATTATCGGAACACCGCCACACGTATTGCAGGCTGACAATCTTTGTGTTTCTTGATATTAGAGCTGCCTTCGATCCGTTGGACAGAGTTGTGCTCTGGAACTGTCTGTTTGAGAAGGGGTGTACCTGAGAAGTATGTTAACATCTTGAAAGCCCTATACAGAAACACCTCAGGTAAAGTTAGCGCATACAACCAACTATCATCACTGTTCCCAACCAACAGTGGGGTTAGACAGGGTTGCCCAATCTATCCATTTCTCTTTAACTTTGCCATCGATGAATTTTTGGAGTCAGCTCTGAAGGATGTGCGTGAAGGTGGTGTAGATCTGCTCCCTGGAGATAGACTTTTCGACCTCGAGTATGCAGACGATATCGTCTTACTACGCGACAGCATGCAAGCTGCCCGAATCGCACTTAACCAGTTGGCGATCAGTGTCTGTAAGTATGGTATGTGCTTTGCGCCGTCTAAGTGCAAAGTACTGTTACAAGATTGGCAGGAGCTTGCACTTGCATTCACTGTTGCAGGTGAATCGCCTGAATTTGTCGATAAGTTGGTGTATCTGGGTAGTTGTGTGAGTGCTGGCGGGGGGTGACGAATGAGATTTCCAACCGTATCATGAAGGCTAGGGTGGCATACATAGACTTCAGCCTCCTCTGGCGCGATCGCGATGTTAGCCTGGCTGTCAAAGGTAGAGTATACAATGCTTCGGTGCGGGCTGTGTTGCACTGCGCGTGTGAAACCTGTTCTTTCCGAGCTGAGGATGTGCGGCGGCTCTGCTTATTCGACTATCTCTGCCTCCACAGGATTGCTTGCGTTCGATGGAATCATCGTGTGAGTAATTCTAAGGTTCGGTGTTTGAACACAGTAGAAGTCACCATTCGTTGAGTGTCGTCATCTGGAAACACCAGCTTCGGTGGCTTGGACATGTTCTGCGAATGTCATCCCAGAGGCTTCCATACTGGTCTCTGTTCGCTAGCCCTGGGACGGGATGGAAAAGGCGTAGAGGTGGAGGGTCCACGACGTGGCGCCGTGGAGTGAAGGATATTTGTGCTTGGTTAGTATCGGTTGGTGTGTCACGTCTCGTTGGTTAGAATCTGAGAGATAGCTCAAATCGATGGCTCGAAACGTTATCGGATATGACAAAGAGTCGTGATCAATAGCGAACGTACTGCAATTTCCTTCTTTCTTCCCTTCCTGATGATAATTAACGAATGCTGTTAGTACTTGTTAAATATGACTGTTTTCCCTCCAGATGAAGTTCTTTATCCATTCTCTACTTAGAGTTTTACTTTTAATCTATATTGTTTTATTATTATTGTATGGCGCATCTTCTTGGTGCCATATTGTACCAAGTTTTTCTGCGTTTAAATAAATAAATATAATATAAATGAGAGATAAGTAGTCATCTTACATCGATATGCTTCTTCGTGTGCATAAAATTTATTTTGATAAAATCACACTGTAATATTTATTGATGACGACGTTTCGAGCGCAATTCACTACTGCTCATAATCATATCAAGGTAGTCACAAATTTCTTGCTTCATTTATATACGTGAGTAAAAATTGATCAGATATTTAAATAAAATCAATATATTATAAACCACATTCGGAAATAAAATAAGTGTTATCAATAAAATACAATAGGATGGGAAATAAGACGAATGTTGTTAGTCAATAAAATGGAAAATAAGATTTTTTTTATGGTAAAAATAGGTTACTTGTTAGAATGTTATGATGTAAATTAAATACATTTTAAGATTATTTATTATCCTCTGTTTTGACTGGTAATAGTATCTTCCATATCTCTGGTATTTGCGTTGAATCACTTCTATCGCATGTGTTGGGTGTAGACTCGATGAACTAGACAGGATTCAGTAGTCAACCTCTCCCTATCTCCACCTACCTATATTACTTTTTACAATTTTGACTCTGTCCCACCCACCCTATTGTGTGGTTATGTGCTAATGCATGCAGTACCGTTGCTGAGTTTTTATTCCAAATTACTTATCGTCGTAGGATCAATCATTCTAACCTTAGCTAAATTCTTATGTTCTGATAATCTCACCACTCCTGATCTACTAATTTGACCTATGTAGTTGATTTTACAGTCATTGCAGGGTATTTTGTAAACTGTATTATTTTGTCTAATTGAGTCCATCAGGTCCTTTAGCCTACAAAGCTTGTCCCTGAGTGAGTTTGTAAGTTTGAATGCCACCCTAATTGCTGTTTTATTGAGAGTCCTACATGGGGCCTCAACTGTCCCCTATTCATATGGTATAACTGTAGATGCCTTTCTCTCTTATTTATGTTATCATTATTAGTTTCACCATTGTTTTTATTATGCTTTCTAAACGTCATCAGCAAATATTATTGTATAACACTTTGTGATTTTATCAAAATAAAATTTTATCCATAATGGAGTTTTACTCTACCACAGTGCCTAATTTCTATTCTTATATCAATAAGCAACATAAACCTCCACAAATCAAGTGTATTTCATAGTATTTTCCATAAATTTTCCATATCTTATTGAGTTTTATTAATATTCTAGGCATTCATCATTCAACATTTCCAGTGTATGTATGTACATCTGAGGTATGATCGAAACTCCAACATGAACAAGTTCATATGGTATAAGAGTTCAAGTTTGTAACAATACCCAACAAAGCGACTCTACAACATTTATTATTAAACCGTACACTAACATTTGTGTGAAACTCTCGAAACAGTCAATTACGTTGAAAGTCATTAATACAAAGAGCTAATAAATTCGTAGAGAATTCTAATAGCTCGCTGCATATTGGAGTCTACTCTCAGAATGTTGTCTGAAAGATTAATGGATGGATGCCTTGCAATCAAGTAAACGAGCTCATGGAACACAACTACACGAATATACGTATTAGCAAACGGTACATTTTTGCTTAAGGTATGGAGTGTATCAATTGTTTGTTTCTGTCACATGATAGCCTTCATTCTGCAAAATGCCCACCCACAAGAGAGAGGGTGAAAAAGGAGGGACGAATAGTAAATTCTGAGTCTGATTAATGTCTTCAAAAGAATTTCTTAAGTGTATATGTAGTTAGTTTCAATTTTTTACTCGGATAAGAAATATTTATTTTTTTTTATCCGAAAATTGTCCTTTCATATCATGTGTATGTATATTTTTTCGGTTAATTAATATTGGAATTTTCAATTTTTGAGGACTAAACTACCTTGAAAGGCAGTTGGTCACTATAGTTTGAAAGTCAGGTGAAATAGGTCTGGATGACAGATGTGTCAAAGTTTCCAATCCCTTCTATCGACAATTTGAATTCTCATCAAAACACAGTGTGTTGGCACAGTCATAGGTTATATGCCTGTCCATACGTTCCAACACTAATTATTTAAATGCATCCTTACATGAATTGACTGCAGAAGAACGAAAAATAGTTGAATACATTGAGCTGGATATGGTTTAACTGTTGAGTTTGTGTTGCTTTTGTAGATAACATCTTTAGCGCTCACTTCTATACAGACATTTGATATTGAAGTTACTGGTAAAGATGTTGTCTAGAAAGGCAATGAAAGCCTTGCAATTAGAGAATCCAGTCCAGAAAGCAAAATAACACAAAATGCATCCACCTGAGCACCAAATTATGTTCACTACTACACGCATTTGCGTCCACTATTATAATTCACAGTAATAATTTAGGAGTTAAAAGAACTAATGTGTTAAGGTTAATATTGTACAAGTAATAGAGAATAACACTGGTAGTCCGTTGTTCTTAAGACAGTGTAATCTTAGACCAAAAGAGTTAATCAGCGAAATAACCAGCAGAGTCTACCAAGTCAGGTGAGAAAAGAGTTGCTCGATGATTGCGATTGCGCTAAATCCCGTCTATTGACAGAAGTTGGAGTCAATGGGCTTTTAAATCGAATTCCAGTGGCTGAGTAGTCTACGGGCCCACCATGCAACTGGAAGGTACTGGGCCTGATCCCCGGCTTGCACGTGCTGATGAGGATTCCCAGACCAGGACGCAACAACTGTTGAGTACACCCTAGTCTTCCAATGCTTCTCTAACTGATATCATCTCGTGATTAAACCTGCAATTATCTGGTAAGTTGATAATAAGTCCATTCTAAGTTCAATATTAGTAAAGCGAAAAAACATTCATAGTAAGATCTTTAGTTGTGTGTCAATAAAACCCAT